AAAATACTAAATCTAGTACAAAATACTAAATCTAGTACAAAATACTAAATCTAGTACAAAATACTAAATCTAGTACAGGTAAATCCAAACTATTAATAAATACAGCTTATTGTATTAATACAAATTATTTTAAAGCCAGTGAAAAATTATGTGATTTTCTTAAATTTAACCTTTTTCAGAATTTGGTGTTTCCCTAAGGATAATCATTTCATACTAAAAAAAACCTCCTTTATGCACATAATAACCATTGTGGAGGAGAAAAATATGAGCATAATGGTAGGTGAAACACTAAAATTGGCCCAGTAAGTCATGAGATATATGAGTATTTGTCCTTACAACTATATTATGTCAACAAATAAGTAAACAAATAGTCATAAAGACAAAAATGCCCATAACTCACAATTTACTAGGCTGATTTCGACATTTCAGCTACCATTATGCTCGTAATTTCCTCCTCTACAACGCATAAAAAGGGTTGCTTATTACGAAATCGATTTATCTTTAGGGAAATGCCAGATATCCCTGTTTTTTCACTGGAATTAATTTAACTTTTTTTATTTAATAATATTTATAATTTTATACATATATATATTTATAAAATATAAAATAGGATGTTGATGTCTGAGAGGTATATTTAATTTATTTGACAAAAAAACATAGAGTATTTGTGTTGATCAAATTAACAAATATGATTGGTCAATTTGCGTATCAATTTTTCTATCGGGCAAAAATTTTAGCGTACAGTACGTACAGTATATTACGGTCAACTCTCAATAAATCGGATTCTTGATAAACCGGTGTCGATCATTTAACGTGACTAAATTCGCTTGACAAACCGTAATTTGTTGTACAACAACCGGTATATCAAGAGGAGGTTTCTCTCGATTATTCAGAGATATTCATCACATTCATACGTTTTATCGAGAGGAAAATCACACTTGGTAATTTGGGTGTAACATAGTTTATCGAACGTTGATCCCTCTCGATAACTCGGTGTCACGTGTGATAAACACCGATTTATCGAGAGTTGACTCAATAACGGTTTATCGAGAGTGATACGAATTAATGCGGTATATCGAGAGATGATCATCTCTCGATATAGTCGCAGTCAAAGAACTTTTAATATTGATTAAAACGGCCTATACATGTATAAATTCAAAAAAATATTGTACATTTAATACCGTGTTTATTACATGTGATCCGATTTCTCGAGAGGTGACTCAATCGGTTTATCAAGAGTTGACCCGAATTATCGAGAGTGATCACCCTCCGGTGTCATGGATGAACAAGAGAGTTGACTAATACGTAGCTTTAACAAATATTTCACAACCACCATCTATTCAAATTCGATCAAAATTTTTTATTTTAATTCTATTAACCCATAAAATTAAAATAAAAAAGATTCGTCAAATTTGTCAAATTTGGATAGTTGGTTGTCGAGAAATCTTTGCTTAAATTCAAAAAGAAAGAAAATTTTACCCGATTTTAGTTTTTTCAAGGTATTTTAAAACTTTTGACGATGATTTCTCGATAACCATGAACTAAATTCAATGTACTTTTTTCATTTTAATCATACAATAATACTATCGTAATAAATTAATAAAGAACTATTATTTTTTTTTAGTAATATTACATATTTATTCTCGAATTAGAAGAGAAGAAGAAGGCATAGTGTAATGTTATTTTTATTAAAATTAGGTAGAAAACTATAAAGAGGTACAAT